TGGAAAAATCGGACACAAGCACGCTACACGCGCCGCACTGCTCGCACAGGGAGGCGGGACCGACCGAGGACCGACACGGGGCCCGACCGAGGGGGACCGAAGGCGGGGCGAACGAGGGCCCGAGCGGCCGCGAGGGAGAGGAGGCGAGAAGCAGGCGGGCGAGGGCCACTACGCACATATCAAAATCGCATAAGCTACTGCCCGCTGTCCGTGGCCTCAAACCACTACATAGTTACCCCGGTGCCGCGGCAGCACAGCCACGCTCGAAGGCGCGGCGCTGTGCGCGGCCACACATCGATGGCCAGGTCCACGCCCAAGCTTCACACCTAGCGACCCGATCATACCGAACAAGTAAGCGCACGCCGCTGGTGATGGCTATGGTCCGTGGCTGCCCTCACGCTGGTACGTCGATCCACTCCGAGAGTTCTTCTCCCTTAACCCCAGTCTGGTCGGTGACCATGAACACACTCTTGATCATGTTCGACTGGTAGCAATTCACGCGGCGGCAGAACATCACGAAAACAGGCGGGTCGCCCACCATGGCCGCCGACCACTCCACGAGTGTCTGCCAGCTGGCGCGCCCCACCTCCATTTTTGCCAAGCACTCGACCATCGCGCAGTCACCCGTATCCCTTGCCGCCTTTTCCTTGTCCTTGAACAGATTGACCTTGTCCCTCAGTGCCCGCGCGTTGAACGAGAACGTCTGGGCCTCCACCTGCCAGGCATTGGCATCCTCCATGCAGTCCTCCAAGATCACCGTCTTCATGCTCATGCCCCTCACCGCGCGGCACCGCCGCGCACGTTGGGTGTCCCGTAGCCTCGACCCCCTCGCTGGCACCACGTCCTGCTTGCTCCGATTCAGCGCATACTGCCGTGCTGCCGGCGACTGGTCCATGTACATGTCGTTCCTCTTGGGTACCACCACACCGTCCGCAGCGTAGGCCCTATCCTTCGGCACCAGCAGCGGCTTGAAGATATCGTCCATGGGCAGGCCTACGCAGGAGCCCACCATGAACTTGCGGGAGGTGATGGTCGTACACTCAGCGTTCTGTCTTCTCTCGAGGGCCGCCCACACGTGGACCACGTGATAGTTCTGCATGAGAGTCTCTGGCACCGACGTGTCGCCCATGGGGCGTCCGCTGCCACTGCGAATGGCACACCTCGCATCGACCGCGTCGATACTCACAGTGAGGTTGCACCTGCGGGTCCTCGTCACGTTCGCGGCGTAGCGGATGTCCTCATCATCCAGCTCCTTGATCAGGTGTGCCGTGTGCCTCGTCATGATCACCCTACTCTCCAGCATCTCGAAGGCCGCACGGTGGGACTCGGGCTCATTCTGCAACTCCTCCAGCAACTCTTCTCGCCCTTCACCAGTGAGAGTCGCCTGGCTGAGTTTGGTACGGTCCCACCTCTCACGCATGGGGGTGCTCTGGCCGTAGGAGCCCGCGAAGGTGGGGCCGCAGTCGTGGCACGTGTTGATCGCCATCCTTCCCACCGTGCAACGCCAGTCATGCGCCCGCCGCTGGTCGCACTTGTCCGAATAGACTTCGGGGCTGCCCGCCTTGTTCGGCTTGGGGGGGAGCACCATCACCGCACTCATCACCTGCTCCGACTGGAAGCGCCAGCTGCCCTTCCCCCCGACCCACGTCTCGTTCAGCATGATGGCACCTCCACGCGCCTTCATACCCTGCCGACTCCAGAGCCACCCGACCAGGATGGTGTGGTAGTACGTCGCCGTGTCCGCATGGTGGTACGCCGCCTGCCACGCGCGTACCCTTGTCCCAGGCACTCCATTGATGCCCACGTTGCGCAGCACCGTCGAGACTCCGTCGTGGTGGCATTCCGTTGCCAGCGAGTGGGGGTACGACGGGCCCAGGGAGCACCAGCGCAGGGCGCCGACGACTCCAATCCACGTGGCCATGATCAGCTTCAGCATGGAGCCGCAGGCACAGCGCCCCCCGGCGCGCATTGCGCGGCGCCTGAGCGGCAGCGTGCCGCCAGCCCCAGGTGGGGCGGCACACAGGGATCAGCGCCTGCGGGCCGCGGCAGCCCCCATCACAGCAGGGCAACCTCGGGGCGGCCGCCTCTGGCAAGGGGGGGTCTGGGCCGCGTCGGCGGCTGAGGAGGAGGAGGAGGAGGAGTACTTGGCCTAAACTGCTGGGCTTTCCTTTTGTTCGCCCAGATGGTTTGCGGAGGCTTCCGGGCGAACGGAGTGGGACAGGACAAGGAAAGAGGGCAAATTACCCCCAGCTCCCGGACCCCCCTCGTGTTCGCCCCGAGGAGTCGGAGAGGCCACTCTGCTGCCCCGGGGGCCTGGTCTTGCTCGCCCGAACGGTTTTGCCAGGCGCCTGGGCGAACAGAATGGCACAGCACATCTGGCAAAAGGGAGGCGGCGCGGTTGGTCCACAGTGCCCGGGGTTCGTCGTCTTCCGGGGCGCCGCGGGGTTCTGTGACCCCCGGACGCCCAGAGCAGGGGGGCGGCCGCGGGGTCCCCGGGCACCGAAGAATCCCACCAGCCCTCTGGGCGCAGGTGGCCCTCCTGGGGAAGGGGTTCACCCCTCCCCCTCCCCGCTCCCCTGGACCTGGACGGGAGGGGCCGCGATCGGTTGGAGCACCCCTCACGAGGATCGTGGCCCCCGAGGGGGGGCCTCGATCGGGAACGTCATTCCTTGATGGCCCCAAGAGGCGCTCGAGGGCTCCCAAGAGAGCCCCAAGAGAGCCTCAAGAGGGCCCCAAGAGGCCCCCGAGCGGTCTGAGAGAGCCCAAGATGACCTCAAAGATTGCTCAGATAGCCCAAGCTAGCTCAAGATGGCTCCCCAAATGCTCCAAACGGCCCCAAGACCAATCCAAGAGCGCCCAAGAGCAGCAGCAGCACCAGCAGCGGCACGAACACCACCATCAGCAGCAACACCCCGTCTTCGTCCTAATCCTCGTTCCCGTACGCGTCTGCCTCCTCCTTCCCCTGCTCCTCCTCCTCCTCCTCCTCCTCCTCCTCCTGCTTCTCCTGCTCCCCCTAATCATCTTCGTTCTCATTATCTTCCGCGTCCTTGTCATCCTCCTCGACCTCGGTCTCGTCCTCGTCCTCGTGCTCGTCCTCGTCCTCCTCGTCCGCGTCCTCGTCCTCCTCCTCGACCTCCTCCTCCTCCTCCTCCTCCTCCTCCTCCCCATCTTCTCCCTCCTCTTCCTCTTCGTCCCCGTCAGCAGTACCAGCAGCAGCAGCAACAGCAGCCGAAGCAGCAGCAGCTGCACGAGCACCACCATCAGCAGCACCCCGTCCTCGTCCTAATATTCGCCCTCGTCCTCGTCTGCCTCCTCCTCCTCCCCTTCGTCTTCTTCTTCTTCGTCCTCCTCCTCCTGATCCCCCTCTTCCTCTTCGTTCTCATCCTCTTCCGCGTCCTCGTTCTCCTCCTCGTCCTCGGAAGTCCTCCTCCTCGTCCTCGGTCTCGTCCTCGTCCTCGTGCTCTTCCTCCTCTTCTTCCTCCTCCTTCTCATCATCATCATCATGCCCCCTCTGCCCCTCATCCCCCCCCTCGTCCTCGTCCTCGTCCTCGTCCCCGTCCTCCTCCTCCTCCTCCTCCTCCTCCTCCTCCCCCTCCTCCCCATATTCTCCCTCCTCTTCCTCTTCGTCCCCGTCCTCGCCCTCCTCCCCTCCGTCTGTCCCGTCGCGCGGGCCCCGGAGATGTACGCAAGAGGGCCTCCAGAGCCCCCATCCCTGCAGCAGTACCCCAGCAGCAGCAGCAACAGCAGCCGAAGCAGCAGCAGCTGCACGAGCACCACCATCAGCAGCACCCCGTCCTCGTCCTAATATTCGCCCTCGTCCTCGTCTGCCTCCTCCTCCTCCTCCCCTTCTTCTTCTTCTTCGTCGTCCTCCTCCTCCTGATCCCCCTCTTCCTCTTCGTTCTCATCCTCTTCCGCGTCCTCGTTCTCCTCCTCGTCCTCGGAAGTCCTCCTCCTCGTCCTCGGTCTCGTCCTCGTCCTCGTGCTCTTCCTCCTCTTCTTCCTCCTCCTTCTCATCATCATCATCATCATCATCATCATCATCATCATCATCATCATCATCATCATCATCATCATCATCCCCCTTCTGCCCCTCATCCCCCCCCTCGTCTTTGTCCTCGTCCTCGTCCTCGTCCTCGTCCTCCTCCTCCTCCTCCTCCTCCTCATCCTCCTCCTCCCCCTCCTCCCCTTCCAAGTCATCCTTATCCTCCTCCCTATCCTCCTCGTCCACGTCATCGTCCTTGTCCTAGTCATGGTCCTCGTCAGTGTCCTCGTCCTCCTCCTACTTGTCTTCGCCCTCGTCCTCACACCTCCTCTCTCGCCCGTCACGCGGGCTCCGTAGATAAACACAAACAGGCGTTCGGAGCCCACCCGTTGTCTGCTCTCTTTCACTATATGTGCCCTTTCCTCTTCCTCCCGACTGTTTCCCTGGGCATCGTTTTCGGAACGGCATCAAGAAAACGAATGGATGCCAATGTGCTGTATGCGACGTGGTGCGAGCCACGTGCTGGGCAAATAGGGTGGTGCAAGCTCTGTGGTGCAACCGATGGGGTGTGAGCAATGTGGTGCTGCCAGCGCAGCGCAGGCAGAGCGAGGCGCCCACGAGGCACCCACCAGGCCAAACCAGCGCTGCCGCAGCCAGCGCACGGGGCGCCCAGGAGGCGCCCACGGCCGCCCACCAGGCGACACCCATGGCACACGCATCCGGTCCCTTGAAGCATGGCGCGTGACACCCCCGAGGTGCAGGCACTGCCTGTGGAACCAGTAGCCGTTGCTTCTGGAAGCCACGTTGGGCCGTCGTTGGGCTCCTTCGGCCGTCTCCGGCCGTCGCCGAGCCGTCTTCGGTTGCCTGGAGCCTCTCGTGGACCATCTCTGGGCCCTCCTGGGAACTGCCAGGGCCGCTGTGGAGCGCCCTGGGGTCGCACAGGGGCTGGCAGGACCGAGTCTCACTTACTCGAACAAGCGCCAGTCTGGCACGCGCTGCTCCCGCCATTCCAAGAAACAGGTGACGTTGGGTTCCAGCTTCGCCTCCCGCATCTCGATCAGCAGCGCCAGAGCTCGCCCCCACTGCTCGCCTTTCTCGCACGCGCTGACCCCAGCGCTGTAGCTGACTGCAACTAGGGCTGACCCGCGGCCTCTGGCCGCGGAATTTGCCCATGTCTTCGCTCGAAATGGCGAGAAGGTGGAAATATTTCAGAAACCATCGAAGAATCAATGATTTCGTTTGCCGCGGCTCGTCTGGAGCGTCTTCGAGCGGTCTTGGGCCGTCTCGGTGGCCCTCTTGGACCGCTTCCTTCTCATCGTCCGCCTTCCACTCTACCTCCGCCCAGACAGCCTTCGGAGCGTCACAGACGGCTATGGTGGATCTGCGGTGTACGTCTCGCCGCTTGCCAATTTTGAAAGCACCTGGGACCTTGAAAAAAGTCACGGTGAGGGCTCTGGTGACTTTTTTCTGGTTGCCTCTTCGAAGCCTGATGGCGGGCGCTGCCGTCTCCTTGGGAACGGGTAGTGGGACTCTCGGGGTTTCTTTTCGAGCTCCAGGGGACCTGTTGGGGCCTCGTTGGCTGTCTTGCGACCTCCTAGGGGATTCTTGGGGCCTGTTGTGCCGTCTTGCGGCCTCCTGGGGGCCTTTTCTCTTGAAGTTTTTTGGGGCGCCTCTGGGGCCGTTCCCGGGCTGTCCCCCCGAGCCTCTTCCGGGGGACAGCCCAGGAAATCTATTGTGCTTGCGTGCTGTGCGTGCGTGCTCCTGTGTGAGAGGTCGGAAGGGTGTCCCGACGTCACCGCTTGCTCTTGGGAGCTGTGCCTGGGAAAGCTCTCTATAGACTCTACGCTGCGTCTCGCTTTTGGGAGCCTTGGTGAGAAGAGGTTTGTACTTAACCGATCGCTCTTTTAATGGGCGTCTCTGGGCATGCTTGGTGGTCCTTGTGGGGGTCTTTTTCGGGCCATTCAAAAGCTTTTTGTGGCTGCTCTGAGAGCGCTTTGGGACGTTTTGGGGTCTTTTTGGGCCGTCACGGGGCGTCCGGGAGGCCTTGGACCGTCTTGGAGCTCTCTTGAGGCTGCCTGAGGCCGTCTTGGGAACCGCTTGGGGCTCCCTCGGAGCTCTCTTGGGGCCGTCCTGGGGATCTGTGAGGCCGTTTCAAGGCTTTCTGGCGTCGTCTTGGGGCTCTTGTGCCGTCTTGGAGCCCTCTTAGTGGCCGCTGGCGTCTTCTTGGGGTGATTTGGGAGGCCTCTTGGCGTGTCCGGGGCCGCTGAGGAGCACACAAGGCGGGCATGCTGAAAATATAAGTTTTCCCATTGACGATTTGTGCCTCTTTGGCGTGCGCCCCGGGCCCTCTTGGGGCGTCTTTGCGGCCCCTTGGATCGTCGTGGAGCCCCCCGCGGAAGGCTTCGGGCCCTCGTGGGCCGTCTCGGGACCCACTGAGGCCGGACGGTCTGGCAATCCCTCTGGAGCGCCTCTGGGACCGGCCTGAGCGATTTGGCCCCGTTGTGGCACACGAGGCGATTTTGTGCACACGAGGCCCTGTGAACCCTTTTCGCACGCAGATCCACTGGCCATGTAGGAGAGATGACGTCGGGCTCCAGCTTCGCCTCCCACATCTCGCTGAGCAGCGCCAAAGCACGTTGCCACTGGTCGCCCTTCTCGCACGCACTGATCCCAGCGTTGTAGCTGACTAGGGCTGACCCGTGGACTCCGTCCACGACATCTTTCTGGAATGGTTCTCGGATGAACGGCGCAGATTGTACCGAAAATCTACAAACGCGGCGGCGGCTCGGGCGGCGGCAGCGAGACCGCGCCTTCGTGTCCGAGCTCTTGCAGCGCTGCAGCAGCTTGGCCCAGCGCACTGCTCGTTCACCCCCCTCCTATTGAGGACAGTTTCGAAGTCTCTCGGGGATGTGCGTCGAAGTCGAAGCCCATCTGAGGCGTCTCAGGAGCGCTCGGGGAAGGGCTCGGGAGGCCATCGGGGAAAGCCACCGAAAGCGCCGGGGAGGCTCGCAAGGATCTACAGGGAGGGCCCAAGAGAGCTTCAAGAAAATTTGAAATCCAGTGAACTCTTAAGAGAAACCGCTGTTGGGTCGGCCATCACCTCCGGGCGCGCCTTGATGGTGCGATCCAGTCGCATCACCGCCAACGGGAGGGTTTGTTCGCCATGTCCCATTCTGTTCGCCCAGAGGGTCTGTGGAGGCCTTCGGGCGAACAGAACGGGACAGGGCAAGGAATGGGGAAGACATGTCCGAATCTCCTGGGCCCCCCAGATGCTCGTCCGAAGAATGCGGAGAGGTCCCAGGGTCATATCAATTGGCTGCTGTCCCAGGGGTCCGGTCTGCTTGGCCCGAAGAGTTTGCCAAGGCCCCTGGGGGAACAGAATGGCACAGCATATCGGGCAAAGGGGGGCGGTAGCTGGCCTGTCAGACCCGGCGTTCGTCTTCTGCCCAAGCGGCGCGGGGCCCACGGGCCCCAGGGTTGGCGTCCCGCTGGGATTCCTCTTGTTCGCCCACAGGGTTGGAGGAGGCCTCCAGGCGAACAGAATGGGGCAGGACAATGAATGTGGGAGACTTGTCGCAAGCTCCCAGCCCCCCCAAGTGTGCGCCCGAAGGGTGTGGGGCCGCGTTGGCTCCCTCAAAGGGCCGTCTTGGAGCCGTCAGGCCCGTCTTGAGGGCGCCGTTTGCCCTGATGGGGCCGTCTTGGTTCGTCGTGGGCCCCTCATGGGCGCGTCCGTAGGCCGTCCTGGGCCCATCGGGGTCCTCGTGGGGCTGTCTTGGAGCCGTCTGGGACCGTGAGGAGGCCGCCTTGGAGTCGTCTTGGGCCCCTCCTGTGCGCCTCCTTGGGCCGTCCTGGGCCCAGCAGGGGCCGTGTTGGCACCCTCTTGGGGCTGTCTTGGAGCCGTCTTGAGCCGTCGCAGCGCGCCTTGGGTTGTGCTGGGTCCGTCTTGGCCCGTCTTGGGGCCTTCCTGGGCGGTTCCTCGGACCCTCCTGGGACTTTCTGGGGCCTCTTGGTGCATCGGACCGCCGAAACGGCGGGAAACGCAAAGGGTGTGACAGTAAACAATGGAAAATTAACGATTTTTGCCAGCTGGGACTCTCTTGCCATCTTGGCCCGTCTTGAGGCCCCGAACGGGCGCGTCCTTGGGCCGTCCTGGGCGCACCCTCCTGGGACCGTCTTGGAATCGTCTTGGGCCGTCTTGAGCGCGCCTTGGGCCGTCCTGGGCCGGTCTGGGGCCGTGTTGGCACCCTCGCGGCGAGGAAGCTCGGAGGCGGGCTCGAGGCCTCTTCGGGGCCATTTTGGAAGCTGTTGGGGCCTCTGTAGGGGCCTCGTTTGGGCTCCTTGGGAGCCTCCTGGGGCCTCTTCGGGGGATTCTTGGCGGCCCCTTGGGGCCTCTTGGGGGCCTGTTTGGGCCTCCTGGCGCCCTCTTGGGGCGGAAGGCTCGGATTTTCGGTCCGTGGTCCCCCTCTTGGCCCCCTCTTGGGCCTGTCTTCGGGCCCTCGTGGGCCGTCTTGAGCGTCTCTTGGGTCGTCTTGGGGCCCTCTTGGGCTGTCTTGGGGCGCTCTTGGAAACCTCTTGGGCCGTTCTGGGGCGCTCTTGGAGGCCTCTTGGGCCGTCTTCGAGCGTCGGAAAGCGGAAAAGGCGAGAAGGCCAAAATCCTTCCAAAACCGTCGTAAAGCGGACGATTTTGAGGCCCAAAACCGTCCAAAACCTCCTGAGGCGGTCCCCTCGTCCGCCCCCCTCGCTTCGAAGCAGTTTTTAAGCCCCGTGGCACCTCTTGGGGATCTCTTTTGGGCTCCTGGGGGCCTCTTGGGCCTCCACTGGATTCGCTGCCCTCGGTCGGCAATCGTCGATCCTACGACGACTCTCCCCAACGGAGAAACATCGAAGGCCCTCGGAGCGTCCAACATTGTTCTTTTGTGCCTTCGATATGCCGGTCGCCTCTCGTCCGCTCCCCCCCTCCTGGAAGCAATTCTGAGGCCACTTAGGGCTTCGTGGGGGCCGTTTGGGGATCTCTTGGGGCGTTTTTGCCTGCGATGTGCCTGTCGCCTCTCGTCCGCTCCCCCGCTCCTGGAGGGAATTCTGAAGGCACTGAAGCCTTCGTGGGGGCCGTTTCGGAGCCTCTTCGGCCTTCTCGGGGGGGCTCTTAGGGCCCTCTCGGGCCGTCTTGGGTGCCTCTGGGGCCGTCTTGGGGCCGTCTGAGACCCGCCTCGGCGCCTCTTGGGCTGTCTTGGGCCGTCTTGGGCCGCTCCTGGGGCCGTCTTGGGTGCCTCTTGGGCCGTCTTGGGCGCCTCCTGGGCCGTCCTGGGGCCGTCCTGGGGCGTCTTGGGACCGTCTGGGGGCCCTCCTGGCCCGTCTTGGGGCTCTCTTGGGGTCCTCTTCGGCCGTCTTGGAGCGGTCGGGGGGACTTCTTGGGCCGTCTTGGAGCGTCGGGAAGCCGAAGAGGCGAGGAGGCCGAAAACATCGAAAAACACAATAGAAATCGACGATTTCTGTCGCTCGGGGCCCTCTTGGGAGGCCTCTTGGGAGGCCTCTTCGGGCGTCTTGGACGCCTCTTGGGCCGCCTGGGGCGAATCTCGGGCGTCTTGGGCCCATCTTTAAGCGTGCCGGGGCTCTCCGGGGCCGTCTTGGGGGCTTCTGGGGGCCCTCCCGACATGTCCTGGAGCCTGCCTGGGCGGCCCGGGGCGGCCCGGGGCCAGCCCGGGGCGGTTTTGAGACATTTGAGCCTGCGCCCTTCCCGCACGCACGTGCCCCTGCAATGTAGTAGAGACTAGGGCTGACCCGCGGCCTTCCGGCCGCGGAATCTGCCCGCCATGGCGTGGACGTGGAAGTGGAGCGTCTCTGGGGCCTCGCGGGTAAGGGGAGGTTGGAGGGGACGGCGTGGATGGAGGAGGTGGCCGCTGGAGGTGGAGGTGGCCGAGGAGGGATACAGGCAAGCGAGTGATAACTTTATCTGGTAGTGTGGTGGCACTGGGGCCAGTGGGCGCGGTCTAGGAGGCCCACAAAAGGGCGGCGAGACGGCCCAAAAGGTCTCCAGGACGGGCCAAGAGGCTCTGAAGGCCCCACGAACTCCCTAAGACGGGCCCCAGTGCGAGGACACGAATCGACCTTTCGAGCGCACCGCCCCAAGACGTCCCCAACTGGCGCAGAGATGGCTCCCAGAGGGTGGAAGAAGTCCCCAAGACGACGCTGGAAGTTCGACGCTCCCCAGGAGAGAAGCATCCAAGGCCTCTTGGGGGCCGTTTAGGGGCCCTCTTTTCGTCCTCCTGGGAGTCTCTCGGGGCCCTCGTGGGCAGTCTTGAGTGCCTCTTGGGCCGTCTTGGGGCGATTTGGAGCCACCTTGGGCGCCTGTCGGACCATCTTGGGGCCGTCTTGGGGCCATCTTGGGCCGATCTTGGGCGCTCTTGGGGCTGTCTTGGGTGTTTCCGGGGCCGTCCCCGGCGCCTCTGGAGCCGTCCCGGGCGGCCCACAGATCGTCTTGGAGACGGTGCAGACGGAAAGGTTTGGAGACGGGGCGGCAGGGGCCTCTACAGCCGTCTTGGTGTCGCCCTGGGGCTGTTTTGGGCGCCTCGTGGGCTCTCTTGACGCCCTCTCGGGCCGGTGTTCGTGCGTCTTGGGGGCCTCTTGGGCCGTCTTGGGGCGGTCGTGGGGACCTTGAACCAGCTTCTGCGCCATATTCCCGACAAGCAGCGCGTGCTAAAATTGAGTGTTTTTCTGCAGGGAAACAATGATTTTCCCCTCTGGGGGCCATCCTTGGACGCCTCTTGGGCATCTCTGGGGCCGTCGTGGGGGCCTCCTGGGCCGTCTTGGGTTTGTTTTCGGCGGTCTTGGGCTCTCTTGGAGCGCTCTTGGGCCGTCTTGGGGGTGTCTGGGGCCGTCCTGGGCGCCTTCTGGGAGCCTCTTGGGGCCGCCTGGGGGCCGTGTTGGGCGCCTCTTGGGTCTCTGGACGCTCTCGCGGGCCGGTTTTCGTGCCTCTGGAGGGCCTCTTGGGCCGTCTTGGGGCGGTCGTGGGGGCCTCTTGTCCCATCTTCTGCGCCATATACCCGATAAGCAGTGCGTGCTAAAATTGGATGTTTTTCGTAGGAAAAACAATGATTTGGGCCTGTGGGGGCCATCCTGGGACGCCTCTTGGGCGTCTCTGGGGCCGTCGTGGAGGCCTCCTGGGCCTGGTCGGGGCCGTTGTCGGCGGTCCGGAGCGCTCTTGGGCCGTCTTGGGGGTGTCTGGGGCCGTCCTGAGGGCCTCTGGGGCCGCGTGAGCGCCTCTGGGGCGCCCCCGGAGCCGTTGTGGGGCATTTTACGACCATCAAGACAAGGACCCTTCCCGCACGCACGGGTCCCTGCATTGTAGAGAAGACTGGTGCGCACCCGTAGTCTGAATCAACTGTGCGATTAGTTAAGACGGGTACAGCTAGAGCCCGCCACTGTTCGACGTTGTTTAACGCTACCAACTGGGACATTTTGGCTGTGGCTGTTTTGTGCTAGTGCTCGCGATTGCTGTTTCATGCTGGTGCTGGCTGACGACTTGTGCTGCCTCTCGCTGCTGAGGGTTCGCTCTGCTGCTGAGTGCTTCTGTGTACGGATTTTGCTTTCTGCTGGTTGCGGCGAATGCATATCGTGGCCATTGGTGCTGAAATGACCGCTGTCGTCTGGGGGCTGGCCCGGCCGTTCTTGGTCGTCGTCGGCCTTCTGGAGTGCAGTTTTCACCCTCTTGGGCCCTCCTCGAAGCCAAATGGCCCCTTGCTTAACCATCTTGAGCTGAAACATTGAGCGGCACATCGACCGGAAACTTAGGACGGTTAGCGGTTTTCGCCTCGCTGGGCTGTGCGCATATCGAAATTGCGAATTGCTGCCCGCCTTGAACTTGTCCAGGAGGCTGCCCCAGCCAGCCTGAAGACTTGCAGGACCGTCTGAGACCGACTGAAGGCAATCCCGGCGCAGCGGTATGGATGACGTTGGGATCTAGCTCCGCCTCCCGCATCTCGTTTAGCATTGCCAAGGCCCGCTGCCACTGCCCGCCCTTCTCGCACGCGCTAATCCCAGCGCTACAGCTGATGATGTCGGGCTCCATATTCGACTCCCACATCTCGCTGAGCAGCGACAGTGCCAGTCGCCATTGCCCGCCTCTTCTGCATGCGCTGACAGCCGCCATGTAGTGACCTGGGGAGAGCTCCGTACCTGATTGGATTCGTTCGCGGAGAAGCTGCACTGCTGCGCGCCATTGTTTTGCCTGGCCATCCACCTTGGTTGCCACTTCTAGGGAAACAGCGCCTTCTCGATACCCTCGCCGCACACCAAACATTCAAACAATACGGCACCACAGCGACGCCTGACCCGAGCATGGCTTGGTCCGAAACGGCTTCGGCCAATAATGCAAAGGGCATAAAGAGGAAGGGAAGGCTAAATAATGGAGCACAGCAGGCGACTGACACCAGATGTCCCTCTGGCCTCCCCGAACTGAAAAGGTCCCTCTTTGCGCTGCTCTTCTGGCCTCCGCCCTTCCGGCCCAAACATCGGAATCCTCCCACTCCCAGGTCTACTCCGACTCCCACTCCTCCCCATCCTGCCTGTCCTCCTGACAGCATCCTCTGCCTGTTCCTCTTTCGGATCCGCTTGTGGAAAGAAGCGTCGACGCGACCTCCTGTGCAAGCAAAGGCGCACCAACGAACCACTAGTGGGACACTGGTGTGATAGCGGGGGAGACGAGCACTGCAGTGGCTCGCACCAAGCAGAAACGGCGACCCTGAGCATCCCGTGCCACGGGGATGGCCCTGGTGCTGGGTGAGGCTCGCCAGCTGCTGCTGCAGAGGCGACAACTGCGGCCCGTGAAGGCCCTTCCCCGCGGACAGCTGCGGCGTTCGCCGAATTCAAAAACAAAACCCTGCAGGCTGGTGCCGCCACGGGCTCCGTAATTCGTTGCTGTCGCAATTGCTGCAGTAGTCGCTCCAGCTCTGACGGCCGCTTAATTGCCGCGGCGGTTGTGTGCGCTGACGACGGTGACACCACCGTGACAAACTGGAACCAAGCAGTGGCCCCAGAGCTGGAAGTCTACGCGCGGCTCGCGCATAGTTGCAGTGACAATTTCTGGAAGCATGACCACGCATGTGGCTCCCGTGCTGGCTGCGCGAGCGCACGTCGCGAGTTCGTTGCACACTCCATTGTACAGACGGCTGTGAGCCCCGCCAGTCATGCAAAATATCGCGCGGTCCCCATCTTCGTCGAGTACATGACCAAAGCCCCTCGTGCGGTGCTGGCAGAGGCATCAAATGCCAAAAATCGGAAGCCAGAGGCGCTGGCAGAAATTGAAGCGGAACTCATCGTCTGACTCTCTGGCCGCATCCCCAATGGCATTGGCCGCAAGTCCAAGCCCGCCCCCAATACCGTCTTCGGACAAATGCTTTCGCTGCCGCGGCTCCTGCTGCTGCTGATGATCCGGCTCCTGCTCCTTCGTCTGCCTCCTTCGTCCCAGACAACACATCCAGGGCCAACCCGAATGCACCGCATCGCCCGAACACACACACACACACACCAGACACCCCCGAAACCTCCACCACAACCCGAATGCATTGGACGAGGCAAAACAAAACAGAACAATACACTGCACTTAGGAAACATCTCCGCCGAGGTCATCGCAACCACTGAGCAGGATTAGGCCCAAGTGAGCTCGGGATTAAGCTGGGCTGAGCGGGCTAAACTGGAATAAGCAAGCCCAGCCCAGATTGAGCGGGATCAAGCCGGAGTTGGAAAGTCTCGGCCAGGGGTATACCAGCGCCGATTCAGAACGTGACCTCCAAGGAGTTGCATCCTAACTGCGCGGCGCAATCAGAAACGCCAGCCATGTGACGCACAAGGGCATACTAATACGATGTGTTCTCCTCGGGACATACTAATACGATGTGTTCTCCTCGGGACATACTTATACAATGCGCTCTCCTCGGGACATACTGATACAATGTGTTCGCCTCGGAGGCGTGCGTCCGTCCCGAGCATAGGGTGTAACCCCCCTGTGGTATATCGTTTCCCGAGCGGTATGGCCGACAAAAACACCCGCCACGGAGCTTACACTATTAAGATTTCGTGGCGCGCGCGTCGCCTCTGGAGGGGGGCGGCGCACACATAGTACTGCTTGGGGGACGCCAGAGGCAGCTGACGGGCGGCGGCGAGGCAGCGACGGGCGTCGCGGCACGAGAAACTGGGGGAGCCTGGCCAGCGCATGCGTCGGCGACAAGGCGGGCGACGGGCGCCTTGCCGTGCGAGAGCCACCGTGCGGGCGCACACCGCTCAAGGACTCTGGCGTCGCGTCCACGTCCCAATTTGGCCCCCCAATTGAGCGACGAAAAAAAGGGTCTCACGCGAGATGGCATAGAGGCCTTACGCAGCGGCTTACGCAGGCAGCCAGCGTGGCAAACAGCAGTGGAGTCGAGGGCGCTCACACGCACCCTTACGCCGGCAGCTTGCGCGCCAATGTCGGCGCAGACGACCAGGTTTTTTTCGTTGCTCAAGTGCCCCAAGAAACCATGGAGAGGCAACATCCTCATCCTCCCCTCTTACTCTTCCTCCTCCTCCTCGTCCTTCTCGCTCGCCACGGGCATACCCAAAACTAGCACCAGTGATACAATATGGGTCGACAGAGTGAGCGAAGCGAGTGATTCGCGAAAGCACCGTGGGTAAGATGGAGGCTTCCGATCAGGACGCCTAACGTCTCGCGACCGACGTACAGCGGTCGTGGGAGCGGTCGTGGGCCACCCACCTCACCTCGAAACTAGAAGGAATGCGCTAGGCCCTGGCCACTCTGGACACTCCGTCTCCAATGCCCACGCCGAGAAAAACTGCTGAAGGCGTGGACCGAATCTTCCAGGCTTGGGACTGATTTGGGATGTATGATGGGACTGCTTTGGGACGTGCAGGATCCCTTGGAGCTCGACAATTCATTGTGTCTGTGTGTTTCTTTCCCTCCTGATTGGATAAGGATCCCAGGGTCTCGCGACCGACGGACGGCCGGTCGTGGGCCACCCACCCACCACGCCTCAAAGCAGAAAGAAGTGCGCCAGGGCCTGGCCCCTCAGGAGGACATTCCTCATCCAATGCCCGCCCCCCGCCCAAAATAAGACTGCTCAAGTCGCGGAGCGAATCTTCCAGGATCGGCACTCGTTCGGTATTTCAAGTGGGACTGGTTTGGGACGTGGGCGATCTCTCTGAGCCGGCTTGTGGCCTGTTGACACATGCTGGGGCCTCTTGGGGCCTCGCTCGTGGGCCTTCGTCCTTCTTCGCCTCATTCGGGTGCAGGGGGGCAACCATACACCTTCTGAGTGTGGGTACTTACTCATTAGACAGTGGGCGGTTTAGAGTGTAAGGCTCTATGGGAGACAGTCTTGAAGTGTCTCAGGGCTGTCTTGTGGTCCGTAGGGGCATACTGTCGCCTTTTGAAGGGTTCTTGGGACCCTACTGGAGGCATTTAGCCGCATCGCCGATACATCGACGATGCGGCTGTGGACGCCTTGTTGTTCCTTTTCCACTTTTCGCCCTGGACCCGACCAAGACAATCAAAACACGACAAACTGGAATGCGGACGTCAAGCAAGCGGCATGGCCATGCCGAAAAGCGCAATACATCCACAATCAAATCGGAAAGGCAACGAGCAAGTGGGTCGCGGGCCGATCCCCTGCCCTGAAAACGCAACGAACACTGCGCCCAACACGGAAAGAACACGGCGATTCTGAGAACGACAACTGAACGCCCTCAGCGTGCTTAAGATCATACAAAGACAAGCGCGTTCCCCTATTAGCAAAGCAACCACTCGCACATGGCCTGGATCCGCCGCGGGGCATCTACGATCCACTACATCGAAGCAAATTTGGGTGACTTTCCAAGGACGCTCGCGAGTAGGCACTTTGCGAATGTTGGCGGCGAGCGCGGGGGGAAGCGAGAAGGAAAGCCCCTCTCAGATGGCGGCGGGGCTTCTCAGAGGCCGTCCAGGCTTCTGAAAAGGTTTTCTGCGTCTTCGGGGAAGGCTTCAAGAACGTCTCAGAAGACCTGGGGCCTTCCAAGCCTTCTGGGAAGGCCCGCCCCTCTCAGTCCCCCCCCCCGGGCTGCGCCGCCGAGCGCAGTGGAACGCGCTCGGTGATAGAGCGGCCACAGCGCAGATGCAAGAAACCCCGCGCAGACCTCGAAAGCTCTTGTCTACGTGAATTCCTGATTATTCTTTTTCTTCTTATTCTTCTTTTTCTTCTTCTTCTTCTTCTTCTTTTTTTTCTTCTTCTTCTTCTTCTTCTTCTTCTTTTTTGTCTTCTTTTTCTTATTCTTCTCCTTATATTCAGATTATGATTCGGAGGAGGAGGAGGAGGAGGAGGAGGAGGAGGAGGAGCAGGAGGAGCCCCCCTCCTCGACCCTCGAGAGCCCGCCTCCTCGGGCCACAGCGCCGCGCCGCCCGCCGGGCCCCCGTCGGACACGGCCGCCGAGGGTCCCACGGACGCGGCGGGCCGCGCCGCACGCGGGGCGCCGCAGCCGAGCCCCTCCTCGACGGACGCCTGCGGCCGTCGCCAGTGCCGCCGCCGCCGTCGACGTCGTCGTCCTCGACGTCGGCCTCCTGCGCCCCCTCCTCCCTCTTCCCCCCTCCGCCTCCTCCACCTCCTCCTCCACCTCCTCCTCCGCCTCTCCGCCTCTCCTCCTCCCCTCCTCCTCCTCCTCTCCTCCCTCCTCTCCCTCCCCCCTCTCCCTCCCTCCTCCTCCCGTCCTCCCTCCTTCCCTCTCTCCCTCCCTCTACCTCCCTTCCTCCTCCTCCTCCTCCTCCTCCTCCTTCCTACCTCTGGCACTGGTTGGCTCAGGGCTGGGTGCCCCTCCGCGATCTGAGGGGCGGCGGTCAGAGTGGGAGATGCACTCCTAAGCTCCCGGGACGAGAGCCTTTAACAAAACACCGCGCAGACGGCTGCAATGCCGGAGTCCGACCGGTACCCGTCCCCTCTCACGATGGCGTCAATGGCCACTGGAGGGTGCCGAAGACTCTTGTAGGGACTCTCGGCAAAAACGAAGACGTCCCCAGAGGAGGGTCCAACGTAACTCCACACCTCTTCAACTTTCCACTCTGGCGTCGCTTGCCACCCACGCGATACTCCTCCTCCGTCTTCCCAGCGAGTTCCCTCCTGAGCGTGCACCTGGCGCGGTGCCGCCACGGGCGGTCTGGGAAGCAAACAAGCTCGGAAGCGGTAGTGCCGCCAGGAGCTCAGGAATGTGGGCGCACTGCTGGTGACGAGCAGGGCGTGAAAGCTTGCACGCGCACAGTCAAACCGAAATAGTCAGGATTCG